GGCTAACTTCAACTTAAGAATTGTGCTACTTCCAACTTATCCATTCGGCACAGTGAAAGTGGAAGCTGCGTAGAAATCCCGTAAATTAGATTCTACCAACTAGCGAGTTAAAGTTTAATGAACGCACGCAGAAGCAGCATCACACGTAAGCCAGGAAGACAAGAGTGTCAAATCGAAGAAGTGTGATCCAATATCGCAAATTCTTACGAAGTGTATAATAAATGCCGGGTATCAGGGATAACGAAAAAGATATAAAAAACAATGTGATATTATGCACTACAGCCTTATACATTTGTACATACAAAGGAAAGTGGAGGGTTTCAGTGATTTTCACTCCCCGTATTGCTCTGCACAACCGGTTTCATCCTGATTTCTACTTTAATTTGGCCGTGCCGTTGGCAATGAACATCGTTTTTACAATATCGCTATGGATTCATTAGTTTTCGCAGAATAATTCAAGATTGATGTTTGTGAAGCTATTTTCAGGATTACCACTGATGTCCTACGCGTAATTGTTTAAAAAAATTCAACAGACTGCGCATGAGAAGATGGACGGTCCCGATATAGCTTGAAAATCCAGCTTGCAACGTTAGGTTTAAATTATTTTGTTCGGAACTGTTTAATTGTTGCTCTTTTACACTGCTCGTTTATTCAAGTGACACTTCTATACAGTGTACTTTTTATCCATTCCTACACATTTAGTTCTGGTAATGTAATTTCAGCTTATCCGTTCTCGACAATGAAAGGTACTGAAAATGCACCCATCTTGATACATAACGATCATTTGGACTTGAATCGATTTGACTACTTTTTAGGTATGGATACTCCGAGTTGTGAGGGGAACTCAACACAATGATTGATGACTTACTTCTTGATAACTAGGTGATTGATCTCCGCGATCAGATCTGGACATCTCTCCTTAGACTTTATGGTGCCCGCCGTAGTAAAGCAAAACAAACAGACCAGCGGTGAGCGGTGCAGCGAGCAAATATTAAAGCAGGGCAGGGATCAGTAAATCACTACTTAACCGGGCATAGTTATGAAAAAAGCATACACCAAAAATGGATTGTCTTTTGGCTTTTGCTTTAGGATATGTTCAGAAACAGTTGGACGAATGGGGATATTGTCGTTGGAGAATGTTACTAACATGAGTTCATCATTTAACTCAGTTTTTCATTTCACACTAAACCTAAAAGGAAAACTAGAAGCCTTAGTGAATTATGGTAGTACTATCGTAGTTGTTAGCGAGCAAAAAAGGCAAAAACCCACATCGTTTGGGTTAAACATACTATTATTTTGTATCGTTGAGCATATTGTGGGCCGTCGTGTTACTATCACTAGTTGCCGCCTTGGGAGCGTAACCCAGAAAATCAAATGCAAGCCTCAGGTATAAACCTATTAGGAGTCCCAATTCCCTCCTCTTCTGCTACGTTCATAATTTGCATAGGATTAGTGGAGGATTTGCGCTGCGTGGCAGTCGCCTTGTAAGTGATGACGGACGTCCGCAGTCACTTGTGGCCAAGTGGCATAAACTATTGACTGTGCTTCAGGCTATTAGTATCGACTAGTCATGGATTCGCTTCCTGTTGGAACCGAGAGGTATGTACTACTGACGACTAGCGACAAAACGGCACAGTCGTCTAGTGTGGAAGACTGTCTAAATATGTGAATAAATATGTAGTTTTTAGTTCCCAATAATTAACTTGGATGCTGCTGCGGAGAACCTACAGTTACATACAAGCCTCTTTCTCACAAATGACAAAGCACTTCAATGGAGAGTAAGTCCCATTTTCTCCCACCTAGTGGCTTTGTTGGCAAACCGATTTCTTGTCGGTAATTTGTCTAATTGATTTGACATAGGAGAGTGTGATGAGGATACTGAGCGACACTATATCACATTTAGTAGCCCTGTCACGTCGGTCGTTGCCATCTTCCATAGATTAGTGGTCTTAACGATGGAGTTGTAACTGTTGGGTTTTGGATTAGAAACTCACCATAATCAAATGGAACGCGTACTGCTGACGACTCCCGAATGGAGGCCGTATGGCTCTGTTCTGGGCTTGTAACAGCCATCAGCAGTCTATTTGTGCGGAAACTACACATTCCGCACCCTCCTACTCTTGTATTCTAATGCTAAGAATAACTTACTGTACTAACCTTTTGGTTCTATGGATCGCTATTTTTGCGTCGTCTACATCTGCTTGGTCCTATAGCTTCACCTAGCAAACCAATGGTTAAAAAAACGCAAAATAATGTGTCATTCGTACGCCGTAACGGTGCTTCATTGCCTCGCGACCACCACCAGTGGCGCGCGAGGACGCCCATCGCTACGAGGATTCAAACCGGTAACCTGGTGGTTGCAAACCAGGCGCGCAAACCACTCGGCCACCTACCGACAAACTGTTTGAGTACTTTTGATTGATCTTCGAAAGATGTAGCATTACACTGTTGCAGTTTGTGTATATATTAACTTCTTGCTGCATCTAGTGATAGAAAATTGTGCGTAGAGTAAATCAGTATTATGTTTCTAGCGGCCATATGCAAAACAACTTCGGCTTCATCCACCTCTGCTCCCACCCACTCCGGTAATGAGAACACAAAACAGGCAGGAATTGACCTGACTACAACGAAAAACGGCACTGTTTACATGGTAAAAGACTAAACAACACGTAGCAGTCCGAGTCAACAGTAGCAGTGAAAACGCCCGACTGATCAAAACAGTTTCAGTGAACAACTCAGAAAAATTGCTATGGAAATGGAAACAGCCGATTCGATGTAGCGGAAAACCAAAGCCACATTTTGTGAATATCAATGTGCTCAAACATGTTACTTTCTGCGGAAAACACATGCAAAGAATTCATTGATGTTACTCACCCCCTTCTCATGGGGAACTGTTTGAGTGTACAACTCTACCGCACAAAGGTACAATTTCCTGTCCGCTTTCACGTTAGCGTACGGTACGGCCTTTGTCTCTACTTTGTCACGTTTTCTGACAAGTCGAAATTTAGTCACTCAAAGATCTCTAGGCTGACTGACCCAGTGATATTAGTCCAGTCGAACTGTTAAAGAATTACCATTTTGCTATTACTATCTTGGTATCATTTTTGCTAGTTATTCTTGTCAGTGGCGTGTGTGTTACGGTCGGTCATTTCCGTTAAGTGAATGTATAAAGCGTATTCTGGGCTTAATCTGACTTGTCAAAATCATGTTTGGAGTCAATGAGACAAGAAACAAGGAAACATCAAGGAATAATGGCAAAGTGAAGAGCTGCAGTGATTGGCGTGCAGTTAACTTTACCTTTCCGATAACAAGTATAAAAGAAATCCAGTGGCAGAAACTTCCTCGAGGAGACTAATAGTCATTAACGTCAAATGGTCATATGGCAAAGTAGATAAAGGTCAGCACAGTTTGAGGGACCTTTGCCTTTCAAATGACAAGCATCCATCATTCTTTGAGGTACAGTTATGGTGCAATCGTGAACCTGTGTTCGGTTCCATGAAAGGGTGAAATTGGTGCAATGATGTGTACAAGGCAAGATCAATACAATTTGCGTAATAATTATCTGTTGCTGCACACCCATGGGCTAAAACAGCAGCCGAAGAAGGTCAGTACGAGTTGAATATGTAAGAGCAGGGAGAACTGGAGTCTGTGTACCGCATTTGTAGCTGAGACTATCTTTGAAACTAGAACACAAGTGGGGAACATTACCATACCTCTTAGGAGTTAACGATTGAAGGGGAGGTTAGACGAAATATTTGTGTGGGTGCTCGGTTGTTGCGGTATTCACCGAGCTGGGTAATTTACTTACAGTGGTCTGGTCACCGATCGAGGTGATACCACCAGTGAGAAGGATTAAGTGGTTTCGGAGCAGAAGATGGTGGAAGGCGAATCTGGATTTGCCATTATTGGGTCTCTTGATGACGGCCACTTCAATTACAAATTCTGCAAATGTTTCCTATATCCGACTAACCATACAGGTTTACTTGTTGACTGCTTGGTATTCCACTATGCTACAGTCGTAATAACTTTCAGTGCCCGGAAAATACAGCGTACAGAAGCCTACATTGGATATGAAGGCTGGTTTAGGTCACCAATAACTGACCCGCAGCTAACCAGTACTGATTGTCACCATTACTTTGTTCCACTAACAGTCGAACATCCCAACCAATACCAAGCAGTCCACTGAGATCAAGAAGCGGCTCGCTCAAAGGATCGGTCTTGCTGCCACCAGCACATCCGTTTAAAGGTAAGGCAAACAATTCCGATGAAGCTTTAACAAAACCAGATATGGGTCACTGGTGACGTGATGCTCTATATCGTAGTCTTCTCAACAGACAATTTATAGACAGATGTGCAGTTCTCCACAGCAATCATTCGCTGGATGTGCGAGTACCTGAAAAAGTCGCTTCTTCCTCGTCCTGATGACTCTCTGACCACCATAGGATAATTGGCTACCCTCGGGGCATTTTGTGTGCAGCGCTTACTAAACGCAATGATTCGCATTCCGAATGACACCGGCGGCTGCCGAATAGCCCACTTGTGTCAAGTTTCCTAGTGTTTGCTTGGTTTATAAATCAATCTGTATCTGGTTTTCAGCAGTCTAGCCTCGTGCGTCTTGATGGTTACACCTATTTAAGGTCAGCACACCCTAGTCTAGTCTAGATCACTAATCTGATCCGAAGGCGAGTACTGTCGAACCCAGTGGGCTAACATTGAGCGTGCTATAAGAAGATGTGAACGGATGAAACGAACACGGGTAAACTTCAGCACAGCAGAGCATGGAGCAGACAAAAGCTTAATGGGATGCGAATGAATATAAACTAGGATGGGAAGCAGTAACACAAGAATAAATTACGTACAACCGTGTGATATCAAGAGTGTAAATACATGTTAAGTGTTTTTTGTCTCTACAACTGCTCCATTTCCGTTCAAAATAAATAGGCGTACGGGACTCCCCTTCCAGTCAAAACTCGCAAATTAATTGTGAGCCTATTCTCCGTATGGACCAGGTGGAGAACACAAGACCCCCATCGGCGCTTTCGTCTACCCCAGTGAGTCCTTCCAGTTGACGATCACGGTGAATTTCGCACACCGCAACATGATTCTGATTAAATTTTTACATCGTTGATGTCTATTGCATTGATGGATAACGGAAATATGTCATAGTGGCGAATATTAACATCTCTCGTCGCTCTTTGTCTCCAACTGTTGATAGGATTAGTTATTGCTGTTGTAAGCAAAATTCAGTTCCCACTATGGCTACTGGGCACATGAGCCAGTTTTTCCAATTAGAAATCACCTGAGACACAGACACATATGTCGTTATAGAAAAATGCGCGAGTGGCTAAAGGGCATGCATGATATTGTCGGTGCATTTCCTGTCCTTTTATCTGAGAAGGAAAGAAATAGTGTGGGATGATGTGAAACATGTGTTGTACATTGTGTCCGGTTTGTAAGGCTACATGTTTCAATTTGTGCTTCTAGAAGAGCTTACCATTGTCGGTTGCGTGTATTAACACTGGGCTGGAAAAGGAATTGGGTGGGAGCAGAATTGCACCACCGACCGATTGTAGCCGGGAAGTATGCTTGCGGCTGTCCTATCCCACTGACTTTATTTAACGAAGGCAGCTCCGAAACTGGATAACTCTATTGTAAATTGTGCTACGCTGCCATGTTGTACCCTCCCTGTGGTCCAAACGCCGGTACTGCAGTTGGCGGAACCGACTGTCTGAGCTAATATGCCAATATCGTCGAGTGCGAGATACCCACGTCAACCAAATCGACAAGTGAACCGAAAATACATCATAGGCGGGTTTTTCGTTCTTGCAGCAGGGTGAAACCACTGCAACTGATGGATTGCTAGTCTATAGATCCACTTTTCCGCTTATGAACCTAAATCAACCTCGATGATTCCATCTGCAATGATCGCGAATGATACAAGGGACGCCAAGCATATCACTGCGTCACTGCGTGGTTTGCTCACCATTTCTCCAAGGACACAAACCACACGGCTTTGCGTCTGACGAAATTACAACTGACGGATGATCATATACTCCAAATGTGACTGAAGCACTTGCAAACTAGATACCAAACAAGTTGTTAGACTAATTAAAATAGCTTGAATCTACAATCGATTGGCGGGTTTTCATGTTAAACATAACGGCATAAAGCTCTCTCTCAGTCGTTCAAGCCCGGTCCGCCACGGTAGTCCACGACCCCTTAGGCCAGCAGCAAAGTCAGAGGATAAACTAGTAGTAGTTCTACTCTCAAACACTTCTCTTTAGACTGCGCTAAACAGTGAACGTACTTACTGTCTCCTCTCCTTAGCTAAAGTCAATAAGGAGATGATTCAAATATTCGTTGAAAGTAGGATGGTACAAATCCCAGTCACCCGTGATATCTGAGAACATCAAACTCCTTGTATGTAAGAGGCTCAAGGTATTGACAAGTGGCAATGTATTCTGGAAGCGCCGTCCAACCACAGTATGATTCTACTGATGAAGCCAATGCTGCTTCCTAATCTAACTCTAAGGACTGTGGCTTAATGTCGACAAAACCAATACGTCATTGCAAGCATATTCTGAACCTATGCTACTTGCGACAATACACTGAGTTACGTCTGAAAGAGATTGACAGCTACCTGCGAACAGCAAAGAAAATACAAAAGCAAAAGTGTTTAGTGGCAACAACCTTTGTCCAAGCACAGCCTGAACAGCGATCACAAGCCGTTTTCTATGAAACAGATAAGCATTTATACGGTAATAATAAATAATATAATAATAATGTGTCAGCTGTACGCCGTAACGGCGCTTCGCTGCCGTGCGACCACCACCAGTCGCGCGCGGGCTGAGTATACCGCGAGGACGCCCACCCCTACGCGGATTCCAACCGGTGACCTTATGGTTGCAAAGCAAACGTGCAGACCACTCGGCCACCGGCCGACACGGTGAAAACACTCAAAACGATAAACCATTGAATTGGGCTTCCAGGGGTCACTTCTGCTGTCGCGTCGTATGCCGACATTCTATTGACATTAATCATCACGTCCTCTTCATCCTTCGTACTAGAACCAGTCCAATACTTGTCCATTTGGGGCCAAGTTGAACTTGGCTCAAACTAACCTTTATTAGATCTCTGCAGTCCGTCTGACCTGGTCGATTATTGCCAAGTCAAGTCGATGACACTTGCTTGTTTCTCCGTTCATTTATCAAGTGATACATCGATGTCATTAGTCTGAGTTCTTTGACCGCTCTACACTGCTCGCTCACCGTTGTTAGACTCAATCCGCAATAGTTTTCTTCGCAGCCAAACTGCTTTTCGCTTGCTACAGATCCGGTGAATTCTGCCTTGTCTCTCCGATTCCTGCGATCATTGCCACGCTGCGTCAGCGTTAGTTGGCTAACCTCTCGACGGAATGCATTATACCCGTCACGTTCGTTCAAGGAGCAGCTAATATCACTTCACCTAACCGTTGGACACTGCTGCACCTACCTGATCAACCGTTGTCTATCACACGGTGGGGTCTGAGGTAACCGGGTTCTACACGCAAATTCAAAATGACCTCACTCCCAATGTTGGAAGTTCACCAAAAGCTAATTGACGATCTACCTCATAGGGGGCAAAATAAACTTGTTAAGGTATTCTCTACTGCGCACATGTGATTTGTTTGTATAACGCTGTACATAACCTTCTTAGAAAACTAGCTTTCGTGCTCGTCAGACTTCAATACACTGGAATCTCGTTATGGCAACCGAGAGCAACTTATAGGTAACCAACTTAAACGACGAGTCGCCTCGTCGTGGCCATCGCGACTAGACTGGACCTCAATCTGGTACGATGTTTTGTGTGCCTCAGTAATCCATTAAGCTGTACGACGTGGTGCTTCTCGCATCTTCAGAGCCACTCATATCAGAGGTCAATGTTTAGAGGTGAGAAAAGATCAGTCTCCTGGTCCTCCAGGTGGGGGTTGAAATGAGAGTGGCTCCTTATCTAATAAAACGGACTCTCAGTAGCCCAGTGCCAAAACCCCGCTGCCTTGCGGTCAGGTTTTTGAAATAAAGGCTTTGGTTGAGAACTCCAATCGTTCTCCTGTCTAGGCCTGGGTAACCTGGACAGTATCCTGCCACGCAATACAGCACAATGACTTTCCCTTTAAACAATCTGTTGATGCTCTGGCCGTCGCAGAGGATAATAAACGGCGCCCTATCTGCTGCATCGAGCTGAGTGGATAGGGGTGAGAACGCTACTGCTCAGGCTTTCCCAGCTTCTTTTTCCTCTATTTCACATTTTTCAGCTTCATCGTCTTGCTCCAACTTCACTTTTATCCCCCTGTATTCGATCCCCCGATACTTGGCTATCCCAAATCTTGCCTCAATAATCGTTTGTCTGCTAATTTTAAGTCACTCACAGTCGCAGTACGTCACTCCAGTCCAGTCAACAAGTCCGTGTTCAACCAGCGGACGTTAGTTTATCCTTTTCTATGTGGAGTCCTTGATCCAACCTGATACTGGTGTGCCTCAACCTGCACACTTTCTTCTAACTTGGTCAAGAAGCAGCACTTGCCCGAACCCTGGAGACCCTATCGATCGATATGTGTAACTTATGGGAAACCTGCCGGCAATTTTAGAGCTCCGTGCTTACACGGCGATCCCCAACAAGCGACGCTGGCTGCACATTCTTATTGTGCCTGTCTGGAGATGATGCAGATTCAAATGCTGGTCAAGCCGGCGTGGGCATTGTTTTGAGTCCCCGGATTAAAGCCGCCTTGATCGGTTGGATCCCAGTCAACAGCTGAATATGCGCTTTCAGATTGCCTGATTCGTTCCAAGCTTCGAAATCGCACAGGGTCAAGCGGTGCCAGTTTGTCACTGCTGCATACGCGCCTATGATTGAAGACGTTCAGTACTCATAATGAGTGGCACCCATTGTGACGGTGTTAAAGAGTGGCGGAACTGTAAGAATCTGTGGAGACTACGAAGTTGCGGTCAATCAGGCGTTGAGGCTTGACCGATACCAGCTGTCAAGGATAGAACATATTTGCGCGTCGCTCATTGTTTGTGAGGTTTCTTCTACAAACTTGGACCTGAGCCATGCCAACGGATTGAACTCGACGAAGAATCTCGGACTTACACACGTATATTCCGCTACATATGCCGTTCGGATCAAGTCCTGCACCGGCTATATTTCAACGGCCTATTCACTCACTGGCGGAAAACATACCAAATACCTGTGCCTGCCTGGAGGATATCCTAGTTACAGGGCGAACCGCTGCTGAACATCCGCACACTATGGATACAGTTCTTAAAAGGCTATTAGACTTTGAGCTGATACAGAAAAAAGAAAGTGTGAGTTTAAAGTTGGACTTGGAGAATCCGCTGTGTGGTTGGGTTGCTGCAAGCAACCTCCATTGAGACCTCGGTTCACTTGAGGTGGACCTCGGTCATTCGGATCGCAAGGATCGTAGGTAAAATGGAAATATTATGGTGTTGCTCATCCCAACACTGGCACTCCACGACCGAGATTTTGTCCTGGTTTTGTGAGTTTCTTGTCTCAAGTGTGCAATACCTTGGTTATTAACTCTCAAGCGATGCGTTGTATCCCTTAGAAGCAAAACAGGGGCGCTGCTCAAAGCGCCAGCTCCCAAAAATGTGAGCGAGCTACGAAGTTTCCTGGAAGCAGTCACTCAATCCTCCAGGTTCATACCATCATGAGCAACTTATTTGCATCCACTTCTTCATCTTTTAAGCAAAATTCAACCGTGGAAATGGAATGCAGTTCACGAGGACGCTTTCAACGTGGTAAAGAAACTCATGACATCATTGTACATCATTGTACATTATGATCCACGAAAACCGATTGTCCTCTCCTGTGATGCCTCTTCTCACGCCCTTAAGGTTGGTTTGCTACACAAACTACCTGATGGTTCGCAAAAACCAGTTGCTTACGCTTCCCGAATCCTAACTGCAACCGAAAGGAAATACTCTCAGCTTGATCGCGAGGCAGCTGCTGCTATTTTCGGTACCAGTCGGTTCCAACAGTAACAGTTTGGCCA